CTCCCCCTCCCCCTCCCCCTGAGGCCCAGGTAGGAAAAGGGAGGCGGGCGGGCAGGTGGACCCACCCCAGCTCACACAGAGCCATGGCCACGCCTGCTGTGCAGGCTCCAGGAGGTCTCATCCACCCCCCCACCCCACCTCTCCTGATTAGGGGTGAGGGGCACTCAGCTGACACAGGGTGCTCAGCCGGGGAGGAGCAGATGGAACGACCTCTGTCCCTTTAGCTGAGCTGCACGCCCTTCAGGCTCCAGGCTCCTCTTCCTGGAAGCCCTCCTGGATTGATGCTTCCTCTGGGCTCCCTGAGCCCAGCCCTTAGCATGGGTGACCGGGTGACAGGCTCATCTGCTTTTTTGCTCAATTCTGATCAGGGCAGTGACCAGGGCCCACTCATTATAGAGTCTGGGTTCCTAGCACAGCGCCCCCTCACTCGGGGGGGCGGGGGGCTCCTAGCACAGCACCCCTGTGCTCCAGGGAGCTCTTGTTGAAGAGCTTGTGGAATGAACAGGTGAAGCGTGGCTGCGTGGAGGGGCCTCGCGTGGATGGGAACTGGTGCAGGTGGGGGGATGGCTCCTCAGCTGGGGCAGGTTTGGGAGGGTTTGGAGTGGGCAGCCGGGGAGGGGAGGGCAGGGGGGAAGGGCTCCTGATGATGCCGCTGCCGCCACAGGCTGGTCATCGTGGTGCTGATCGGCGTGAGCGTGGCCTGGATCCCGGTCCTGCAGGGTGCCAACAGCGGGCAGCTCTTCATCTACATGCAGTCGGTGACCAGCTCCCTGGCCCCCCCGGTGACCGCTGTCTTCATCCTGGGCGTCTTCTGGCAGCGAGCCAACGAGCAGGTGGGTGCGGAGGAGAGCTGGGCGGGGACAGGCCTGGGCCGGCTCCTCATTCCCCTCTGGCCGGGCTCGATCGTCCCCTGGGCCTTCATCCAGCGGCCCAGCTGTCCTGCCTCCCCCAGGGGGCCTTCTGGGGCCTGATGGTCGGGCTGGCGGTGGGCGCCACAAGGCTGGTCCTGGAGTTCCTGTACCCTGCCCTGCCCTGCGGCGCCGTGGACACTCGGCCTGCTGTCCTGGGCAGCATCCACTACCTGCACTTTGCCATTGCCCTCTTCGCACTCAGCGGGGCCGTGGTGGTGGCCGGAAGCCTGCTGACGCCCCCACCCCCAGGGGCTCAGGTAAGCCTGCCCTGACCCCGGGCTCTGACCCTTACCAACGTCTGACTCAGGTTCCAATTCTCTGACTCAAGAATTTTCTAGTTCTTGGCCTAGCCCTGGCCCCTGGCCCTTTTTGAACTCAGCTGCCCCCTTTCATCACTGACCCCTGATCCTGTCTGGGTCCACCTCCAAGCCCGCACCCCCTCCCTGTCCTGCCACCTTATCCCTCCCATTCCCTGCAGATCCAGAACCTTACCTGGTGGACTCTAGGGAGGGACCTGCCCCCAGGAGCCAAAACAGGTAGGCAGTGACCCTGGGCATCCCTCCCACACCACCCCCAGGGCTGGGCTACAGAGCAACAGGGCCCTGGGGGTGGCCCTGAGATCCTCAGCATCCCTCTCTTCCCACCCGTGCCAGCTGGCAGCCGGAAACAGGCTTTCTGGGCCCGGGTCTGTGGCCTCAACGCCATCCTCCTCATGTGCGTCAACATCTTCTTCTACGCCTACTTCGCCTGAGGTGGCCGGGCCTGAGGCCGCCCCTTTCCCTAATGAGGACACCAGCCCTGAGGCTGCCCGGCCAGCAAGGCGGGAGCCTGAAAAATTCGGGAGGGAATGGGAATGGGTGAAAAGAATGTGACACTTCAAAAGTGGCCCTCATATAACGGGCAATAAAAGGCGATTGCAGAGGACATTCTATCCTGTTACTGTCTTTATTTTGCATACGTGGGTCCAGGGCAGGAGCAGCGCAGTCGCCAGAGCTCAGGGCCCGGAGGGAGAGCCCCCCACTGTCCCATCTGCTCCCAGTGCCATAGACCCCCCTTCTCCCTGCCCCCACCCAGCCTGGCATTCCAGCTGCTCCCGAGGTCCCCTCTCTTCCTGCTCCCAAAGGTGCCCAGACTCGGGGCAGGCGCTGCCTAGTGACCCCCTGCTGGGTGTGCGTTCCATTCTCAAACTGGGCGCCCCCCCAGACTGCCCCCCATGCTGCTGGGCTTCAGAGTCCAGCCCAGGCCCAGCTCCCCTGGCCCGCAGGTCCTCCCGGCTCCCGGGGCCTGGGCAGAGCCTGGGCCTGAACCGAGCTCCTCGGTGGCTGCGTCCAGGGCTCGTCCCCCAGGCCTTGTCCATTTTGAGGAGCAGCTGCCCTTGCCTTCTCCATGGTGCCCTCAGGGCCCGACCGCCCAGAGTCAGGGGCCCAGGTGGGCGCTGGAGAAGCTGATCTCCACCTGGATCTGTCCAGTGAGCCCAGGCCATCAGGTGGGCAGCGCCCTCGCCTTCCCTTCCCTCGAAACCACCTCCCCAATAGCCAGACACCTCAGGGTCCTTTTGAGGGAGGGGTGGGCGGGCCCGGTGGGTGGGGCCGCTGACGGTGGAGCTCAGCCCACCCTAGGGTGTCCCAATGCTGGTGACAAGTGGGAAGAGGCTGCGGGAGCCCCGGGAGCGCCCCTTGCCCGGCGGGCACTGCACTTGGTGTTGGCTGTGGGCACGGGGCAGCCCCGGTTCATGTGGAACAGAGGGCTGGGCTGGGCCGTCAGAGGCCGTGTCCCTACCAGGCCTGGGCCGAGCCCAGGGGGCCCGGAGGGGTGTCCATGGTCTCTCTCTGGACTTCAGAGTCCTGTGGACAGATGGTCTGCTGGCTCGGCTCCCAGCCCCGCTCCGGTCAGAGGTGCACCGGCTGGACGTAGCTCCGGGGGAAGAAACCCACCTGCCCGCAGAACCGGCCTCGCCACCAGTGCGGGTCCAGGTGCTCCAGGACCTCGATGATGTCACCGCGGCGGAAGCTGAGTTGGGAGGGGTCCTGGGCCGAGAAGTCAAACTGGGCCTGGGCGAAGCCGGCTCGCGGCGGCTGCAAGGGAGCGGGTGTTAGTGGGGCCTCGGAGGCCGGAAGAGAAGGGCTTTGCCGCCGGTTGGTAAGGGCAATGTTTTCGAGGCAGAATTGAGGTCAAGGTGATGGCCACCCACCTGCATGGGCCTCCTGCTGCCCGCACCCCCTCCCCTCCACGGCCGCCACACAGACACAGCCTCTCCTGAGAGCCCGCGCTGTCCTGGGCTCTGCTGGGACCGGGTCCCGGCTGCAGTGAGGGGCTGTGGTTCAGGCCCTGCCTGTTTGGGGTCTCAGTTCCCTGACTGTGCAACGGCCGTGATAACTGGACTCCAGGCCCCGAGATCACCAGGGCTGACACAGACTGTGGCGTGACGTGTGGCCACCCCAGTTCAATGCTGCTGCCCTTGGCCAGGCTCTGGAGCGAAGGGGACACTTGGAGCTGCCCAGCTCTCGGCTCTGGCTTCCAGTCCTAGCTGTGCCCCAAAGGGACCTTGGTTAAGTCTTTGCCCTTGTGGGACTCAGTTTCCCCACCCTCGGATGGCGCTGGACTAGAGCTCTCAGCCCGACACCGGGACATCTCCTCCCAGCACGGTCCTGCAGAGCAGGAGATAGGATCGGCACCAGCTGTAATTAGCAGTTCTCTGCCCAGGAAGGAGGAGGCGGCCTGGGTCCCGAGAGACCGAGCCAGCTCTGGAATCTCCCCACAGGGTAGGCGATCCCAGGGCTGGGCCCAGGGAAGTGGTGGGTGTGGGGAGCTCACAATGGGCCCCCAGTTCCATGCTGGCTCCCTCACACTCTTCAGGGTCAGAGCTGGCCCAGGCGAGGGGGCGGGATGAAGGTCTCGGGTACAGAGGCCCAGAGGAGGCTCAGGGCTGATCTGACCCAGGTCAGGCTGCGGAGGTGGAGCCTCCCGGTGGGATAGGGGGACTGGCACTGCTGACGCCCTGGAATATCAGATCCCAGGGCACATCCTATGGGACAGAGGGGACACTGAGGCCCAGGTGAGGGGTAACCTGGCCCTGAAGTCATGCTGGATGAGGCAGCTGGGGCCCAGGGAGAGGCTGGATGGGCCTTCCTCAGCCTCCTCCCTCTGCAGAGCCCGGGCTGTCTCGGGGTCCTGCCTGGCCGACCCCCCCTTCCAAGGAAAAGAGCACATCGGGAATAATAACCCCATTAGCAGGTGTCGTCATCCTAATGAGAGCTGGCCCCCGAGCCCTGATGAAAGGCTGGCTGGCAAATTGCTGTTCTTGCGAGGACACGGGGTGGCCAACCTCCCCCACACACACCGTGTCTGGCCAGGACCTCGCCCACGCTGCCCACACCCCACCCAAGGCCAGCGCCTCTGGGGCAGGAAGCAGGACTGAGCTACCAGCTGGTGGCCTGGGTGAGTCACATCACTCTCCTTCCTCAGCTGCCCCACCTGCACGGCGGAGACAGCGAAGCTCCCGTGCAGAGCCCAGCCCAGTACGCGGCACTCAGAAGGCTCAGTAGGCTTCAGTACCTTCAGCCGTTCAACGTTTATTGAGCACCTACTGCGTGCCGTGCACTACTGACAACAAGCCCGACGGGTTGCCCCAGGGAATAGCCAGTTGGTTCCTTCCTTTTCTCCCCTCCCCTTCCCAGCCTTGCTTATTTCCCTGCAGCGACACCAGCACAGACCCTCACAACATGGCCGGACCCCCTCCCACGCGGGGAGCGGGCGGGCCCGGCCCCAGCAGGTGTCGTGGCCCCTGCACACAGGGCGCCCGCCCGGCCTTGCCCACCTACCTGGAGTGGGGGCTCCTCATCCCGCAGGAAGACCTGGCGCCTCTTGGCGATGGTGGTGGTGCGGTAGAAGTCGACCAGCTCGTTGAGGGAGTTGAACTTCTCCTCCCACAGGAAGTACTTGCCCGAGGCCTCACGCAGCACCTTGAAGTGCTGCACCTGGTCGCCGTAGCTGGAGGGGAGGACCCATGGTCACTGGGATGGGCCCACGGCCAGGGACCCCTCCCGCCCAGCCCTGGTCTCCCCTTCTTGCCCTGGGACCAGCCTTTCTCTTTCCTGGTGAGACCTGGGCTCAGAGGGGCAGGAGGGAGGACAGGCCAGGCCTCCCGCCCAGGCTCCCTGTGAGACCTCGTGAGCACCCCTGACCACTAAGGGGTGGACCCTGGGCCAGGCACTTCCTTGCAGTGTGACTTTAGGCAAATCACTTCTCTGAACCTAAGTTTCCTCACAATGCCTCCTCCCTCTGTTCAGTGCCCAGAAAATGCCGACTGTGGCTCATGGCAACACAAAATAGGTTTCTCTGAGTGCATTTTCTCTCTTTGTTAATCCTCACCTGAGGATAGTTTTTCTGTGGATTTTAAGAGAGAGTGGGAGGGAGGGCTAGAGACAGAAACAGCGATGTGAGAGACACGTCGATTGGTTGCCTCCAGAATGCACCCCGACCTGGGCTGGAGATTGAGCATGCAACCGAGGTACATGCTCTTGACTGGAGTCAAACCCGTGCTCCGGCGCTCTAACCACTGCGCCCCTCGGGTCGCTAGGGCCATTTCCTCTCTTTAACACCCCCTCAGCCTTCCCTTCTCCTCCTGCTGCGTCCCCTTCCGGCTCGTGCAGTCACTTGAGGAGCAAATCCTCAGGCCGCCCTGACTCAGGCCTATGCCTGTGGGTGGGAGGGGAGCTTAGGCACGTTGGATGCTTCTGTCCTTCCCACCCACACCCACCTCGAGGACCTTCTGTGGAATATACGAGCATGCGGACAGCAGATTTGACTTTGGGTGGTGGGCACACGGTGCAATATACAGATCTCTGTAACATAGAAACCTGCACCTAAAACCTATATGTTCATGTTGACTAATGTCGCCCCAATCAATCCTATATAACAAAAGCATAACATGCAAATCGACCGGACGGCCGAACAGTGGGACGACCATCCAGACAACCATCCGGGACCACGCTATGACACCCACTGGCACAGGCCAGCCAAGGAGGGTGCGATGTGACTGGTCGGGGGCCCAGCCATCACCCATGATCACCCCGCAGAGGGAGGCTCAGGCCACTGGCCAGCGGGGCAATCAATTGGGAGGCTCCACGATCACCCCAAAGAGGGAGGCCCAGGCCACCCACCGGCGGGCTGCCATGGGTGGCGGGTGGGCAGAGCCTCCCTCTGTGAGGGAAGCCTGGGTCCTGGGTGCCGGAGCGAGGCCGGTGCTGGCAGCTGGGGAAGGAAGGCCTACTCTCGCATTGGGCCTCTAGTCTATATATATAAAAGGCTAAGTGACCCTCTGACCGCCAGACCGGTAGCTATGACGCACAGTGACCACCAGGGGGCAGACAGTCAACGCAGGAGCTGCCGAGAACCTGAGAACCACCCTCTCACTATCCAGGACCCCTTGGGGGATGTTGGAGAGCCATTTTCAGCCCAATCCCCGCAGGCTAGGCCGAGGGACCCCACCAGTGCACAAATTCGTGCACCCGGCCTCTAGTTTAATAATAAAAAGAAAGAACCTCCTATGACTCCCCATTGCCCTTGGGACAAACTCTTAGCACCGGAGACTCAATACTAGGCTCTAACTGCATGTCCAGCCTCTTTCCTTCTATAATCTCTGATGCAATCAGCGGCCCCTTCTCGACCCCTTGCCCTTGCCCAGCCCCCCAGCCCAAGCCCGGCCACCCCATCCTCTCACGTGCCTTCTCGCTCAGTGAGGAGACCGCCTGCCTCTCCCAACCGGCCAGAGGGGTGGAGCCTGCTCTGCCTGGCCTGACCCGAGGGACCTGCCCAGGGCCTTCCCACTCGCTGCATATTTCAGGCCAGGACAGGACATGCTGGTGGAGGCCAGGGGAGATGCCAGGTGGGTCAGGATGGCGGGGAGCGAGCCATCGCGCTTC